AACCACAATACCGATAAGTGATTAATAAAAGTCAAAAGACCAAAGAGGTCACCTTAATACCAAAAAAAAAAAAAATTCTTATTAGTAAAGATAAAACAAAAAAATAAAAATAAATTAATTATTTGCTCAAAGTTAAAAAAACCATATTAAAATACATACTAATTTTGTCATTTTAATAAACCTTAGTAGAAAAATGTTGTTAGTAAAGACTGCTAGAAGGCTACCTAAAATCAGAACTAAAATATCAAATTAACAATACAGCTCAATCTTGATCACTAATGGTTATATAAAAGTGTGTCGATAATATAAATAATAGAAATTACAACTTTGCGCTTGTACAACTTTGATAATCATTGTAAGACTTGCAGTTTCGTGATAATCATCAATTTAATTGGTTGTAGTACGCCACAGTTGTCACGGGACTGCAACATTTTGATGGCGATACTGGGGAAGATGTGCAAGATTCAATTTCATGTGATCCACCAACCACGAGAAAGTTAGCCTATAGCCTCGGATCGGACCTGCGAAGCACTAATACCAGGGTTGTAAAATTACTGGTAAGCAAACAAAATGACTCTTATTGGTAACTTATGGTAAGTTACCACAATATATTTCGAACTATCAGAATCAAAATTCATAAAATTTTTGCTTATCAAATTATGTCACGTTTACTAATAATGATTGATTGTCACATGATTTGTTATAGTTCTTATCATAGTAACTTTGGTAACTTACAATTGCTAATACAAGCCTAATGCAAAATTACGATCCGAGCAACTTTACTTAGTTTATCGGTTAGCGGGCTTATTAGTAAAATTCGCTAACGCTAAAATTTTTAATTGGGTCCGGAGTTTGGGTTACACGAATCTCAAAACTTTTTGAACATAGCTGATCTATCACTTTACGAATAATGACGTTACACACAGCAATAAAATTTGTCCCTGGATTTCTCGGAAAATTTCTCAAAAATAGTTAATTAAACCATAACCAATAAGGATTTTACATCATTTAAGTAAAAAGTTCGAGAAGCAAAAATGATTAATGATGATTTATTAAAATATGCGTGTTTTAATATGTACATTGCTTTTATATAAGCATTATTGCCAAATCATCAAAGAATTATTGTTTGCAATGTTTTATAAAATTTCCACAAGAATTCTCCCTTGCCCATTGTATACCTTGCTTTGAAAGAGAGTTATAGAAGTCAAGGCTGAACATATCAATATTAAATTTTTTTTTTTTTTAACTACAAAAAGCGATTAACTTTACTGTAGTATGTACATCTTGACTTGCTATTTACAATGCGCATGCCTTTTTTTTTTTCTTTTTTTTTTTTCTAAAAAAAAAGAAAAAAAGTTTAAGTTATACTTAGCTATACTTACCGACTAGCGTACGAATATTTGGAACTCCAACTTTCAATGCTTGAATCGCATAAACTATTTTTCAAAGCGATAACATCTTGTTGCGAGTATTGTCCCATAAGCACTTTTAACACGACTATATAAGCCTCATCGTTTGTGAGACATAAGGGAGCATTGACTTGTAGTGGAAGTTGATCATTAGTGAGCCGCTTGAGAAATAGTCTAGAATCTAAAGAATTCATAAGTTTGTATCGTTAATTCCAATATAATTTCAAAAAAAAGAACGAAAAGTAATGAAAATTTTAAAGATAGACAATTAGTAATGAGAAATTTACCAAGGTTATCAACAAAAGCAATCAAATGTTCATTTATATCCAACGCAACTTTTCTAATCAGTGTGCGAGGATCTAGTCGACCAAGCTTTGGGCTCAAAATCACTACATTGCCAAGACTCTCTTTATCAAGCGCAGGTTGTAATTCTTGTTTTACAACTTTCTTGACGTCTGCAACGTCGGCATTATATGGTACGTGAACTTTTATAGGGTCGGTGTGTTGAGGATGTTTAACCCATACAACAAGACTTTCTTCCGGAGAAGAAGACCGCTTTACTGGTGGGAAGAACCAAAAATGCGCAACAAAAGCAACAAATAAAGCAAAAAAGCAAGAAAATACAAAAGTAGGACGACAAGAATTGGTTTTAATAATTCGTTTAGGAACAGAACGCCTTTCTCCACTTAAAGAAACCATATTTTTTTGAGAACGAAAATTAAACAAACCATACCGGTATGTAACTTTCTATAATGATAAAAATTACTGCGGAATCCAAATATGTAATTATAGACGCACCCTCTGATAGGTGGCGTGTAACAATAAGAGATTATCGGAATTTCTGTACCAAATTTTTATTCACAAGGTTCGGGTAAAATCTAAACAGTTAAATGGTAAATGTGAAGAATTTTTTTTTAATTTATTTTGTCTTTTTATCCATGATGAGGTATTTAAAGCATGTATTATCGTAATTTTTAAAATGCCGATGAAATAAATGTCCTGAGGATCCCAAAAGAATCTTTTTATTATTATTATTTTTTTACGGTCATGTTATTTACATATGATTGTATTCATAACGACAATACATTTAGATTTTTGTTAAATGACAAAAAAGTCAAAAATATACGCGTTTGGTTATAATGCTTTTAGACAAACTCACCCCGAAATCCAGGATGCAATCATTGGTTTACCAATTGATATAACGGCATTTGCAGACAAGATAATTTGGGCTAATATGAATTCAACTTTGAGTGAAAAGGTAGCAAAAGCCATCAATAATTTTTTGTTCAATAAATTAATTTGTAAGAAGTTTTATTTAATTTTGTCATTAATTAATTTAGTCTATAAAAAATGGAAAAGCCTCAACTGTATTGTTAGCATGGGGTTTTGACTCTGTAGAAAATAAGATAATTTCACCGACTTGTAAATCTTGGCAAAGAGTGAAAAAGTGCTTTGGTAACGACAATGGCATCCTAGGTTTTCTTGATATTGACGGAAATATTCATTTCGAAGGGGAATATTCGGGAATGCATGAGATTAGTAATTCTTGCACAAAAATTGTTGATGTCTCTCAATTTTGGACTGGCAATGCAATGATTGTGGTTACAGGTAAGATAACAAGATGAGTGTTATTTAACTCTTTATATTAAAATTTAACATGAGGAAAAAATTTATCTTTGAAGTGGATGGAAAATTATACAATTGGAATATCGAACAGGTCTCTTCGGAAGAGATCACACCAATTGACAATACAATCGATCTTTTTTTCACAAAAGTAGTATGTGGAGAGAATCATTGTTTGGCATTGACTCGAACAGGACAAGTATTTAGTTGGGGATCTGGAAGGTATGTTAGTATTGATTGCTTCGATCCAATTATGAATCATTAAGAAATCATTAATAATAAAGATAACTAAATATAATTGAGTACTTAAGAGTAAATTGGAATAGTTAAGGGAGGAATTGATCAATACATTCGTATTTTTAATGGATATTATTTAGATACGGACAATTGGGTCATGGTGATACGAAATCTTTGGATAAACCTAAAGTAATTGAATTTTTTTTGGGCTTAAGAGTAGTTCAGATCGCTTGTGGTGGATGGCATTCAGCAGTAATTACTGGTAAACTATCTTTTCAACTGTGTGCTATAAATCACACAAAAAATTAAATTAATAATGAATAGATTCAGGAGATTTATATACTTTTGGTTGGAATCATTTGGGAAGATTGGGTATTCCGCCTCCTGATAAAAATGACCACACGCAGCCTATGATTAATTATGCTGAACCTACACTAATAGAACTTAACGAAGGAAAAGATTTTGAACCTAATATAATAAAGGTCTCTTGTGGAAGCGCTCATACTGCCATCGTCACAGGTGAATAAACACTTATTGGACTTTCGAATACGTGTAATGTAGACTATTTATTCTTTTGGTATTGTATACGCTTAGATGATTATCGACTTTGGACCTGCGGATGGGGTATAATATTTCATTAAGTTTGTTTTGTTGTATTATTGTTTATAGCTAAAATTGATTGCCTGCAAATAGGTAAATATGGACAACAGGGACAAGGGCCACACAAACTATTTGATAATCTTACCTTCACTCCTGTTCTCTGTTCAGACTCTAATAAAAAAATAGTGGATTGTTTTTGTGGCAGATGGAATACTTTTTTTACTGTAGAAGATACATAAATTTATATGCTAAATTAATAAATTAATCAATATTAAATCATCATAAATTTATAACTCATTGATAATTCAAGTAATAATCGTCATTTATATAAATATTAAAAAGTTAGTTTAATCTAGAGATGGGCACGCGCGGGATACGTAGTATAATATGAATGTTCTGATAAATGTTGACCGGTATTCCGCAATATTCCGAAAACAAAAGGAATTTGAAACCAGTTGATTGATCATCTATACCGCGGATCACGCGCGTGATGCGCGCATCTTGCGCGGGATTTTTGTGAATATCATCACCAGTTTAATCACATCTAGCATTCCTAATTGCGTATCTTTTAATATTTCTGAAATGATTTAAAAATATGTAAGAATTTATTATGTAGTCAGCTATCAAACTTTGTCAAGGTTATGTTTATCGTAACAGAAGAGAACGTTCTCGAAGCCACGGAACAAGAAACAAAGGCGGTTTCACACGAAATACTGGTGTTCCTAGTAATTATCATAATGAAAATAGTAGCGCGTTGTCTTACAATGTTCCTGCTGGTGATCCTAGTTTCTTGTCAATTAATGGTGATTGTTTCTACAGTACAGGATAGCTGTTGTTTAATGTCTAATAACTTTATAACAAATAATTATTTTAAAAATCCCTCTTACTTATAAACTAAGCTACAAATCTGTAAGACAGATTTTTAATATTCTGCTTTTTACAAAAGTTAAGTTTAGAAATTTGGTGTAAAGAAATCAACCAATCATATTACTATTAGTCACATGCCAGTGATTTTATTAAAAATTAAAAATTTGGCAAAAAAAATTATTTATATAATTTATTGACCAATCAAAATAAATTATATAATAATTGACCAATCAAAATAAATTATATAATAATTGACCAATCATAATTAATTATATTATCTTTAAAATTTGGCGCTTTTGAATGTTTTTTACTGTATATTACAGCAGAGACCGTTAACGTTACACGTATATTAAAACTGGTGAGGGATTATATTCATCACAATTGAATCCAACATAAATAATTTAATTTGTGATTAATCACAGGTGAGAGGGATTCACTTTGGATGGGGCACTGTCTCCGCTGTAACTGTATATCGGTAATATTTCCATAAGTGAACATAAATGATTCATTTTGAGTTTTTGCCTTGAAAATCAAGTTATGAGATATATAATTTTACTATGTCTCATAACTTGGCATTCAAAGCAAATACCCATTTGTTCACTGCTAACATTTCTACCAGAGATTATGCGGATGAAATGTTATAAATTGCAGGTGATGATTCTGGTGTTTCTGTTAATACTGATCCTGATTCTGAGAGATCATGCATAAAAAGTCAAGCAAATGACCATAGAATACCAAAGAAGAGAACCTTATTACATCTGTGATAATTACGATATATTTAAACGTGATAAGCATAGTCTTTATCGCAAATAAGTGATCAGCTATTTATTTGTGTTAGAGGTGTGTATAGTATAAAGCGTAATTTAACTTGATGATCAAAGATTACCTACAAAGAGCCCATCTCTGATGAAGTTGATAGATACAATATTTTGATATGGAAAGCAAAATGGATAATTTTTCATCTAAAACTCCCACAGATCATCACTTTTTATTGAAAAGATAAAGCTGTAATGGTTGGATAGACTAGTGGAGCAACCAAAATCCTGGACAGAGTATGACAGTATTGATAAATTTCTCCTAATAAAATTGTAGCCCACGTATTAAGTAAAGCTCCAGATATATAACGATAATAATTTTACTGTAGTATAGTTGACTGGTATTATTACTTAATGCCGGCCTAGCTCCAGACCTATCCCGACCCTAAATTTGGGTCGATCTGTTGAATTTTGGTTGCCAATCTCAAAATTTTCGTCACTGTTTATTTCATTATTAGTAATCAACTGATTATCTAATACTTATATTGCGCAGCGTCACGTGAATGTCCAGAAAAATTGAAGTTTTGGATGACTAATCTTCAACTTTTTATTAAAAAAAAACAACGGATTTACGCGACTCTTTTCTTTATATATATTTGTTAAGTACATATACGTATTTTTGTGTAATTCTCATTATTAACATAAGTAAATTCATAAAATCAAAATGAATCATTTATTATTATATAAAAAATATACAGTATTTTACTATTACGTATACTGTAATAATTAACGTTAAGGCCGTGTTTTAAAAAAATGATTTGCCAAAGTTCAAGTTTCATCCATATGTACGTACGATGATTTACATAGAATCTGCAAATAATAACGATTACCTTTCTTAATCTCTAAATTAATAAATATTAAGAGGTAAATTGTGGTTAAAGGGATAAAAATATCAAATTTAATTCGTAGTAGAAATTGTCGGAAGTTAATATAGCTTTTCTATAAGGCTAGCTTACAATGAAAAATTCTTTGATGCCAAGTAGACCTTTCTTGAGTCTCTAACAAAAATTAGTATAAATTATTCCGGTTCCAAAAATGGTAGAATTATTAAAATTGGTTTAGTAGATCCATAACATATGATTTTTATTAAAAGTCGGGTCGCCGTTTCATTTTTTAAAAATTTTATGTTATCGTTATGAGAACCGACTTATTAAGTTGTATAGCCTTATATGAATATAATAATAATTCACCGCCGATTTTTATTATGAAATTTATACGTACTAAAATTCATTATTTAAATCAAATTTGTGATATAAAAATGATTGATTTAAGCATTTATCTTTATTACGTAATCCAAATATTTATATTCAAATTCCGACTTTGAATGCGATTTTTAAATCCACAGAATCTTCGATGCAACATAACATCTTTTGCGAAGCGTAATAAAGGATTCAAATCTGCTTTAAATTGATTTAAAATAAATATCAGTGATTTATATCATCGTAATTTAAATCACATGCCATCCCCCAATACGTACCCTTCAACAGCGATCTACAACTTAAGTAATAATTTTTAAAAGTCATTGTGTAAACAAAGTATTACTTTTTATGATTTTATATTATCATATATGTTAAAATAAAGACAGGCACATAAAAATTCATGTATACGTATTTGAACGAAAATTTTATCGTAACGTAATAGCGAAAGTAGTAGCGTGAAATATTATTATTATTATTAAATAATATTATTAATCTATTTCATCTATCTGCACTCTCAACTGTGTTCAGACATGTTGAGACTATGACCTTAGAGAAAACCTCATCGACTTTATTTAAAAAACAATCATATTATTTTATATAAAAAGCCATGCTTGAAAAAACATTTATATCTTTCACTTTCATATTTATTTTATTTGTATTTAATGTACATTCTGGTGATTATTCATATAATATTTTAAAAAGTGATCAAAATTATACTATCCAAGGTCTTTCATGTCAAACAGATTTTGATTGTAATAATTCTTCAAATAACCCTCCTGTACTGGGTAATTATTTATGTGCGCAAAATAGGTGTAAATTTGTTGTTGCTGCTGGTGAGTTTTTTTTTTAAAAAAAAAATTCTCATTTTCGATTCTGAATGATGTTTAAGCATAGCTTCTGTTATAAAATTAACATGCTAAATTGTATTCATTCTTGACGCGTTCTATAGTCACCTAATTTTTTTTTTTCTATTTTGTTCTCTTCAAAGGCCAACCATGCCATGATGTATCGGATTGTTCTGCCTACTACTATTATAGTAGTGTTTCCCAAAAATTACCTAATGACATTGACTTTCTCTGTTCTGCAAGCAATGAAAAACTCGAATCCATATGTGGTAATGTGTGGGAAAATTTTGCGTACTTACCTAATTTCACTTTAGAAGGTTCTCGAAAATTTTGTGGTGGTATACCATTGAATGAAAGTTGCTCTTTGGTGGCCACGGATGTTGATCCATGTGATTATTCTCTACAGTGTGTCAATGTTAATTCGATAGATAATGTAAAGAGATGCGAAAATGTCAATAGTTCCAAGTCCGATTCTGTTATTCTTGGAGTTTTCATATGCTTGACTGGAAATATCATATTGAATATTGGTTTGAATGTACAAAAATTTGCATTTACTCGAGGAATGGAAGATACCAACTTAATGCCAACAAGAGTAAATTCAAATCCATCAGTGCCGAGTACTGGGTCAGTATCCTCTCATAAATGGTATAAGAAGTTTGAAAAACTCATGTTTTGGAAACAGATTGTGGTGTCACCGGTACATTTTACAATTTATGTTCATGTCCCTTAATATTACTGTATTTCGTTCCTAAATTTCAATTTACCTTTTGAAATAGCTTTGGGTAATGGGGCTGTTAATCTATATAGGTGGGACAATGATGGGCTTCGTGGCATTAAAATTCGCACCTCAATCTTTGGTAGCGCCGTTAGGAGCTATCTCATTAATAACAAATTTATTAATTGCGCCCATACTTCACAAGCAAAAGTTAGTTCGCTCAGATATTATTGGCGTTGTAATTATTGTAGGTGGATGTGTAATGATTACTTTCGTACCGGGTGATGCAATTCAAGGTTTGTCTAAAGAAGAGTGAATGAATGGCAAGAACTGGGTATTTTTCATCCACTAATTTTTATTTATTGATTTGTTTATTTTATATTTTATTTTATTTTTTTGTGTGTAGATTACAATCTATGCGTCCTAAAGTCATTGTTTCAACGCATAGGTACTATAATCTATTTATCGATAATAGGATGTTTCATAATTTTACTTTATCTATTTATTCGGGTTGTTGAAAAAAGAATTGCAGACCAAGTAAAAGCGGCTAAAAATGCATCAAACAGAAATTCTATACAATTATCAAAGATTAATCTATCAATGGGAGATAACAATAATAATAATATCGATATAAATATAACACCACAAGACTTACTCCAACAAAATAGGTTTTTTGACTCACTCACTTCAAGTCAACATATAGAGTTACAAACTTCAGATACTTCAGATAAGATTTCAGATATTTTAAATAATAATGAGAACATACAACGGCAAGAACGAATCTTGTTACCGATCGCGTATGCTATTTTAGCTAGTAGCATGGCTACCATGACTACTTTATTTGCTAAAGTATGTATTAAAGTTTTAAACCATTATTCTCTTTATTTATTTCACATAATCTCATCCTATATTTTTATAAATCAGTCTTTAATAAACTTATTATCAGAGTCATTATTTCACGATAATAACCAATTTAAGGATTTTTCTTCCTGGATAATCTTAATTGTAACTTTGGTAACGGCATTTGGGCAAGTGTACTGGTTGAATATGGGATTGAAGAAATATGACGCCCTAATTCAAGTCCCTATATTTTTCTGTAATTGGACTATTTTTGACATTATTGGAGGAGGTACGTGATTTATATTAAAAAAAAGGAAATTTTAAGTTTAAAATTCAAAAAAAAAATTTCATTGAATTTTCAACATTAGGTATTTATTATGATGAATTTAGAAGTTACAGCATCAAAAAATATGCAATGTTCATAGTGGGAGTGTTGCTTATTTTCTTTGGTGTTGGGATGTTATCCAAACGATTGGCAAGTCTGTCAAAAGAGGAAGAAGACTTATATAAAAGGCAGCTGAAGTTGAAAGAGACATTGAAATTAGTGACGCCGACAATCCCCCAGGCAAAACCTAATAAAAATATAAACTAACTACGTGATAGGTTTATACTGTTTATATTTTTAACGCTTTTGATTAACCAACTGATAAAACTACTGATAAAACTTTTACGTATGCTTGCGATAAAACAATAAACCAATAAACTGTTTGGCATTTACATTGTATAGTATTTTTTAAAGCCAATTATTGCGGTATTACGAAAAATAGTGATGTATCGGTATGGTTTAGTAAAGTATTTTATAATATATATATATTATATAAAAAAATATTATAGTTGTCAAGAATTTAATTATTAGATGTGACCTCACGAAAATTTTACAGAAATTTATTTATTTATCGGTTAATAAAAAAAAAACTATATGAAACAGTACCAAAAAGAGTTTAAAAATCATTATTTTTACGAGATCGCTTTAACGTTTAACGTTTAACGTTTAACAAAAATCAAGATTTTTACAAGACCGCAACCAATCGAGGACGCAATCACATGGCATTCCGAACTTATGATTCTCCAGAAAAATTGAATCCAAAGAAATTTTTTTTATCAATCCTTAATAATATTTTTTTTAGAAGGAAATGTTTTCTAAGAGACGAAACAACTAGTATTAGACCAAAATAAATAGTTAAACATATCCTTAACAGGGGTGCCGAAAAATTAATCGCAACACAATTTTTATATAATTACAATCAACTAAAATTGTTAGCAATTTTTACTATAAATTTCACAATAATATAAAATTTTAAGGAACTGACAAAACTGATTATATTCAAATACAGAATTATATTGTCATTAACTGTAACTGTATCTAAATGATTAATTAAATTTGTATAACCCGTTTCTTTGTCTTTTGATTATCGGTTGTGATCTGGAAGGACAAATTACACTGATATTTGCCATCATTTAAAAGTCTAAAAAAGACATCTTTGGAAGAATGTAAATTAACTGATGATTATCATCATTTGGAAAGCATCTTTTTAATTATTGGCTGCGACCTGAAAGAACATGAATTACACTAATACTTACCATCATTTAAGGTCTAAAAAATGCATCTTTTTTTGATTATTGGTTATGATCTGAAAGAATGTAAATTACACTAATGCCTGCCGTCATTTGAAGTCTAAAAAAAAACATCTTTTGATTTTCAGCTATGATCTGGAAGAACATAAATTATACTAACGTCTGCCTCATTTAAAAATTTAATGCATTTATTGGAAACGATTTCAAAAACCGTATGATATACTTGTATTTGTAAGGAATGTAAATTAATATTCTTGTAGTTTGTACAATTTAGTTCAAAAAAGTGATTATTTGAGTTTTGATGTCAAATATCTACAAATATACTCATGTTTATTATCACATATTTTATTAAGTTACATTTTTCAAACAACTGCAAAAATTGCAATTGACTCTCAGTGACTGTGTCATAAATCAATTAATTAAGTTCAAATAATTAATTTTTCTCATTTGGTAGACCTGATTCTAAAAAGAAACTTGATTAATACATCTTTTGACAGTGAATTTGCACAGATAATATTCAATTTCGTACAAGAAAATAATGATAACTTGTAACCTAATTTGAATAATTTTGATACTATTTAAATCATATTAAGAGGATTCAAATAGTATTAAAATTATTTAAATCAGATTACAAATTATTGTTATTTTCTTGTATGAAATTGAATAGTTCTTTGGTGCAAATTTGCTGTCAAAAAAGGTAAACAATAATTTAAAATTTATATTAACTCAGAAAAATACAGATTTCAAAATATTTTTATAAAATTTTATTAAATGAAAAATGTTCCTGAACTAGTTTAAAAAATTTATTTCGAAAAAATTGTTAATTTGATTCTTTTTTCTAGCACATAGCTTATATAATAAAGAATTTTGAATTATAAATTATAGAATATATCTAGTATTTTCTCATTATAATTGTAATAAGAACTTCACTATAGCATGAATGAAGCTCTAATAACTATCAAACCAAATTTTTTAAAATGTATAATCTTTGAGAAGTAAAAGGCATATGAAAGCCAATCAAATTCAAGAATTTGCTATCTAAATTTAGAATTTAAATTATATTATGTTTAATATATATCAAAAATTTTACTAGGTATAAAGCGTGTATTTGGGAATACGTACAATCAATTAAAAATCTCAGTTTTGGGTGCTGGTAATACAAACTCCTAAAAAGAAAATAGCCAATCAGTGAGTTCAAATTTTGATCGTTCCAGATCAGCCCGACATGAATTCCGAACACGTGTAAAAGAAGAAAAAGCGAAAATACTCAAAAACTGGTGTTTAAATCGGTCTTAGTGCACTGATTAAAAATATCGGAAACGAAATTTTACATCTAACGGGTAATAGCCTATGGCTATGACTTCTAATTCCAACGTTCCAACCCTAAATTTGTGTTTTTACGCACTTTATTTACAAAATCGAACTTCCTTTTTTTGGGTTGTATTACCGGCACAAATAAGTAATTCCTCCATACTTCATAATTTCATTATTACGTTCCTGGTACGATACGACGTTCTACCAAGTAGAATCGTACAATTTTCATACCTTTGCCATTCTAGTTACTACGATATCGTTGATCGTTATCGTTATTCGGTCTGCTAAGTGCATATCTGTACCAAAAAAAAACCACATATGACTTTTGGCTGGTTTCAAATAAACAATACAATGTATTATACGTACTATTGTACAGTACATATGTACATTTCTCTTTTTTTGACAGTTTGAATGAGTTTCCAATTAACTTATTAACTTCAATAATTTAATCTGCTGATGATTTATCTGCTGATGATTTATCCATACATAACTCGAATTGTTTTTGTTTTAAAAAAACATAATGCTGTTGATGAAAGTAAACCATTTTACAAATCTGTAGCGATTCTTCTGAAATAAATAAAATTAGTAAACAAATAAACTAAATACATGGAAGAGAAATCAAATGCTAATTTTCCAAAAACCGTTGAAGGCCAAGTTTTTCATGTTGGAATCAAACGAGGCGAAAGTACATAATTTATTTTATAGTGATCTCGGTTCATTATTTTTATTAATACCTTTTTTAAAAAAATAAGTTGCAAATAGGATAATTACAGTGGGTGATCTGAGCAGGGCAAAATTACTTTCAAGATGGTTGGATGCGGATACACCAATATTTCAGCGAGAAAGTCGCAGGGGATTTTTGACAATCACTGGAAAGTATAAGGGAGTCCCTGTTAGCATTGTTGGAATTGGTATGGTACGTTTTTTAACGTTAACTAATAACGATAATACAGTAGTTTTCTTAATTATTATCGTGACAATTAAATTTTTTTTTTAAAAAAAAGGGTTTATCAATGATGGATTTTTTTGTTCGCGAAGCCAGAGCGGTAGTAGATGGTTCTATGATTATAATAAGATTTGGGACATGTGGTACTATCGGTAAGGCTACTGCAGGTGACGTAGTCATACCGGAAGGTTCTTTCGTGGTTACAAAAAATTATGATTATCCAATTTTTGAAAATAAGGAGATAGCAGTTCAAGATTATGAAATAAAGACGAAAGAACAGCCGTACAATATATCAAAAGTGATCTATGGAGATAAAGAGATTCGCGGCTTGGTATTCTTTTTTCTTTTTTTTTGTCTTTGAAAAAACGCAGAACTATTATTATAATTTTTTTTTTTTAACAATGATAATGATTTCTTTACTATTAAGATTCAAAAACAATTATTGAATTCTGGCATTCCCCAAAACCAAATATTTCAGGGTCTAAATGCGACATGTGATAGTTTTTATTCTTCGCAAGGTAGACTTGACAAAAATTTCGTGGATCACAATAAAGAACTATTCAAATCTATTTGTACTAAATATCCGGATGCGGAATCGTTAGAAATGGAAACCTTTATGCTTTTTTACTTAGCCAAATGCAGTACAGATGCTCCATATCGTTTTCAACGCAAAGCTAACAATGAACAAAGAAATAGTATAAGAGCTGCTGCAACTGCGGTAGTAATTTCGAATCGTAAAACAAACGAATTTGTTGATCCGGATAGGTTGGATGATTTAGTAAAGATTGTCGGAGAAGCTGTTTTGAAAGTTTTATTAGAAATTGAACTAGATGAAGTGCATTTTGAGGACGATGAATGTGTGTGGAATTCGAAAATTTAATTTATGAATTTTATGCAGTACATATTGTTAAATCATACACTTATAATGATAAAAACAGATGTTTTTCGCTTATATATTTGTTCAGACTAAAGTAGTTTCTGCTGTAGTGTAGTTTATTCACACTATAGTATCAAAATTCTGCTTTTGCAATGTTAATGCCATTCAATGTTGGCAGCAATAGAACAATAAATAATTTAAAAATTTTTTAAAGAATTTTTATAAGTATTTTAGACTCTTGAAGTTAATATTAAGGGTAGGGGGTATATAAATTATTTTTTATATAGTTTTATATAGAATTTTGAAAATTTCATATAAAATTAACACATGATAAACTTTTTTTAAATTACAAAAATATTATGATAAAATTTAAAATTTTGAATTATTATTATTATTTTTTAATATTAAGATAAGTACTTGTGACCCAAAAGTTTATTGATAATATTTGACTTGTAACTGTTTGTATAACAACTACAAAGGCAATTATAGAAAAAATGTCAATTAGTTACTTATACAACTTTAATTATTGTCTAATTTAAATAATTAGTCTAGGTGTGGTGACTTAGTGAAGTGGATAAGTTGTTATCCTTCAAGTGATAGGTTGTGAGTTCAAAACCTATTAATAGCAAAATTGAAATAAACATCTATGTAATATATAGATGATATTATGATGATAGCATTCTGTCAATTAGTTGAGATAAAATACCTGTAACTATGATTACACTAGTATGACTGACAGGTCTGGAGTATCTATGTAAACTTGGTTACACATAAGAATGCTAACCAGTACCAAGTAATACAAATCTAAAATAAGTTCTTAGACTATATAAATTTGTAGAACTGAAAAGTCAAAGCTTACTTAAAAATTCTAAGCAGAGGGGTAGCATGGATCTTTAACAGTATTACTATAAAGACTAAATTTAGAAAATAAATACTAATATAGAGGAATTGGGCAGATAAAAACCTTAGATAAAGGGTATTACTAATTAGGTTGCTAGATTTCAGACTGAAGAAAAAAAATATTAAGCCAGTTTTAATATACTAAAAACAGATTACAGTCTTTCTAGATTATTTGGATTAGAAGTTTGAGGTCAAAACAGAGATATACTAAAAGTACTAAGAATATGTTGTGAAGTTAGTGTCTAAGTCTAAATAAACTCTATATATAAGGGCAGTCCTTGTTAGTGTTTTAAAAATAAGTAAATAGTTAACAACAGAAGATTCTCTATATCTTACTGGCAGATAATGTATTCTAAAATATGTAATGACCTAAAAACCAGTATAAAATGAGTAGATACTATACTGTTCAGATAGTATATTAGTTAAATACTGTATATATAGAGGTTAGTTAGTGTTACATTATAACAGGAGTAAATAATTAGAGAGTTTAAATATATATTCTCCTAGTAGATTATAGGTATAGCATTTAGTATAGAACCCTAGAGCAGACTACTTAAATAGGCAATTAAAAGTTGTATGTGTAACTAATTGTACTCTTATCTCTATATAAAATAGTGTATATAATAACTAACTTCAGTAATATCAATAAAGTTTTGCTACAAAGTATAACCTTTAATATATAAAAAATAAAATAAATAAAAAAATAATTAGTCTAAAAGTTTTATAATAATTATTATATATAAAACCTACCTATAAGTTTTTTATTTAAATATTCTAGTTTTTATATTTATTTTTATCTTATTAATTGTATCTTAGTACAAAAATATTATGATCACTAAGTTATATTTAATTTTGTATTAAACTTATCAGAAACTTTTGTATTTTATATTTATAGTTGTCTTGATATTACTTTAGCTTAGCTTAGTACTTGTAGTTAGAACTAATTATTAAAGTATTATATTTTTATAAATTTCTTCTAAATTTTAGTATTCATCTTTTCAATATCTTTTTTATTATTTTTCATTAACTATTACTTAGAACTGACAGAATTTTATAGACTACTAATTTAGAAAATTTAGTGTAGTATTTTATGTATTTTTTTTCTTCTAGTAATTCTAATAATCTAATTGGTTATATGCTCTTTTATACATCTTATTATTTGATTTATCTGTTTATTTTTTTGGATATAGTTTATAAATTTTCATTAGTTCAACAGTTTTATTAAAAGTTTATATATTATCTTTTTATTTAGAATTTTCAAGTAGACTTTTATTTCTTTAGTTTCTATATTTAGTAATTTTATTATAAGTTTGCATTAAAGTTTTATACAATATTAGTTTTTTATATATATATATTTTTTTTTTAAAATATTAAAATGAGTATTTGCAATATAAGATTTTATTAATAGTATATTTGGCTAATGATTGCATTACAACCACAGAAGACAACTATAAAGAGAGTGTATAACTAGTCATTTATACAACTTTAGTCATTGTCTAATTTAAGTAATTCATCTGAAGGTTCTATACTAGCTGCTATATCTGGAACCCACTTGTAGGTTTCCTATTTAACTACTCTGTTTCTGTATCCACCCACCTACCTTTGCCTACCAATGACTCTGGCTAATGCTAGTGAAAATATGCTATGGCCATTAAGTCTTTAAAGCAGTTTACTTATATGAGGAACCTTTGACCTTATACTAAATCTTCCAGAATTTTCTATATCCTATTCTTATAGCTGACCTGATATTGCTATGGCCGAGACCAATACTGACAGTCAGAACATATCATTAAACTACTATGCTTTTGTAGAGTTTATCTCAATTCTAATACTAATTTCACAACATATTCTTATTACTTTAGTATTCAATTCAAGTTCTACCAAGCTGCTATTCCAGATAGCCTGAAAAGGTAGAGCAAGGCTGTACCTTTGGTTTACATGTTTGCTGGTATGTACCCTTTTCTTTTAAAACTCAGAAATTCTGGCAGCCTGGTTGGTTTATTTAATCCCTTCTTAAAGACTGGCACATTGTCTGGTTTTACAAGTTTTAGCTCTGTTTCATAAGTCTAGTCTTTATAGTAGCACTATCAAAGGTTTGAGTTATCTCTCTACTCGGGTCTTCCAAGTAGGCTTCTGTTTTCCTATCTAGTTCCTGTGATTTACATAGCCTAAGAACTTATTTTGGATTTATATCACCTAGTACTAGTTTGTGTTCCCTCGTACAATATTGTATAAGTGCCTAGACCTTCCAGTCATGCTAGTTTTTTATATTCCTTTATGTATATATAATATTATACTTTATATAAATGTTCTAAGCTCTTAATATTAGATAAGATCTAATTTAGTATATCTAAAATTATAAATACTTAAATTTAACTAATTAATAAGTAACAGTTATTATAATATAAATATAATTTCTAAAATTTATTATTTATAAAATTTGAATCTTAAATCTGCTACTTGGAATTAACAATCTATTTATTTCACTAGATTACTATACTTCTATTATTATATTTTAAAAAATATATTTATATATATTACAAAATTTTTTTAGATTAATTTAAAATTTTTGAGTTTTATAAATTAAAATTAGTTTATTTAATATAATTTTTTATAAAATTAAATATAAAAAATTTTATTATTAAGTTTATATATAATTTTAAAATAGTTAAGTTTTATAACTTAACAGATAAGTTATTAAGCTTTTACAGATAAAACCAATAATTTAAATTAAGCTAGACACACTAACACTCTCTCCGACGATCACTTGGACACAAAACCGGTGAAAAAAGAAATCAACTTTCTGCACTAACAGTGATAGATAACACTCTTGACA